CGATCAGTCCACTGATTCCCAGCTTGCCAGCACCCTAGTGTTCCAGGCACTTGAACAACTCAGTATTCGTTGAGCTTTCACACACAGTGGGCACTCCTACAGGCACTGGGGACAAAGCAGTCAAGAAAACGAACAAAAATCCCTGCCACCACAAAACTTACGTCGTAAAATAAGTAACATATATAGTGGTAAGTGCTAAGGAAAAAAAAAAAAACCTTGAAAAGTCAGGATAGGACAAAAGAAAGAAACCGCAGGAAATGGGTGGGGTTGAACTTGTAGACGGGATGGCCAGGGACGGAGTCCTGGAAAGAGGTTATGTGAGCAATGACCTAAAAATGTGAGAAGCCCTGCCACACATTAGCTCTAGAGCTAGTTACTCAACTTTTCTGTTCCTCAGTGTCCTCATCTCAAAAATGGGTATAATAATAGCAGCCTGGGGTCTTAGATTAGCTCCGAAGTGTGGAAAAGAGTGACTGGTATTCAGAAGCGCTGGGTAAGTTTCTAATAAAACAGAGACGAAGACTGAGTTGGGGGTCAGAGAAGCTGAATAAACAGAAGCTTAGTTTTGAAGTAAGCTAATTTTGGGGGGGGGGGAATCTTCAAGTTTATAAATAGGCAGCCTGCAGTTCAAGGGATGGGGCTGGAGATCACTTAATTAATCCTAAGCCTACACCCAGTATTTAAAACTGAAATAAATTAGTAATTGTAAAAAGAGTCTGTTCTTGTTGTTTTTCTTTTTATCCTCAAATGGCTTTGTAAAACACTGAGTTAAGCAAGAGACTCAAGTTTTTTGGTATTTTTGTTGTTGTTCCTAGACATCTTGGAACTGATGTACACGTTAACATTAGTCATGAGTCTCCAAGATAGGGACCACAGACCTCTTCGATCTCTTCGATTAGGAGTGTTTAGAAGAGTACTGTTGCATAGAACGTGGTTTAGGCCATACTGAACGTGTTCTAGTACTGCCTGAAAAATCAGTTAATTCTTGCAAATCAACAGAACTTCAAAACTCACAGAACTTTCAAAATCTGCAACACTGATTGGTTATTGTTTCATAGTCATAGTTTTGTATCCATAGAAAAGAGCTAAGCAAATTGTAGATGGGAATACTGTTTTGTAAGCAATGTGATAGTTTGCTTTTAACGATTTTCCTCCCAAATTATCTGCATATCGGAATCCTGTGTAGAGCTTCAGAAGCAGACGGATACTGTGTCCTACCTCCAGAAATTGTGATCTCATTGGTTTGGGCTATGGTCAGGGCATCGGAAGTTTTAAAATGTCTGCAAGTGAGTCTTATATGCAGACACTTTAGAGAATCTCTTTTGGACATCATCTATTCTCTGCCCCTTATCTATAACCTTTTTTTTTTTTTAAGATTTTATTTATTTGACAGAGAGAGACACAGTGAGAGCGGGAACACAAGCAGGGGGAGTGGGAGAGGGAGAAGCAGGCTTCCCGCGGAGCAGGGAGCCCGATGTGGGGCTCAATCCCAGGACCCTGGGAAAATGACCTGAGCCAAAGGCAGACGCTTAACGACTGAGCCACCCAGGGGCCACTCTTATCTATAATCTTTAAAAACCATTTCTTTCTTTGGTTAATTAAGGGTCCTTATTTGGATCATGAACAGGTGGCTTATTCATCAAATGTTTATGTGCTTAGTATTTGTTGCCATATCATTGTGATATCATGCTGATACTACTAATTTTCAACACAAATGAATAGTGTAAGAGAAGTCTGCTTTTAAAAGGTAAGTGGATATTTAGGTTGACTAAATTGATAAAATTCAAAAACTAAATTATTAATAACATCTTTAACTGATATAGTCTCTAAAAACATCTAAGAGTCTTCAGCCAAGATATAAAATTTTAGCAAAATCAGCTAGTACCGTTTATAATCCTTTAGACTTTGGCCTTACGGGATGGCAGTGTTCATGAATACTATGCCCTTCAAGAGCCACAGAACTTCCTTGTGAAAATCCAAATGCCTTTAAGAACGGTGTGAATCTGTGATAATCAATTAAATCAACTACTGTTTATTGAACACATACCAGGCACTGCTCTCAGCACTGGGGATAGGTGGGTCAAGTAAGAAATCCCTACTCTTACCAGTTTAAGATTACATTATAGTAGAGGGAGACTGATGATAACAGGTAAAACAAACAAACAAAAAATAGAGTTTCAGAGACTGATGAATGATTTAAAGACAAAGCAGGGTGAGGTGATAGAGAATGCTAGAAGGCAAGGCGGGGGGGGGCAGTGGTTGCTAGGGTGGTCACACACCTCTCAGAGGAGGTGACCCTTGAATCCTCAGGGTGAAGGGAGTGAGGAGACATTGGGAAGATCTGCGACAGAGTCACCTGTGCTGTGGGAGAGTCAGAGCAAAAGCTAGCAAGGGAGCAAACATTCGATGCATTTAAGATGCAGAAGAAAGCTAGGGATAACAGAGCGAGATGTAGAAAGCGAGCAACAGATGAGGTCAGAGAGGCAGGCAAGACCCAGGCAATAAACGCTAGCACCTCACAGGCCGCAGTAGGGTTTTTTTTGTTGTTGTTTTTGTTCCCTTTCTTTCTTGTTGTGTTTTTTTTCCAAAGTGTTCTAGAAGGCCATCGGAGGCTTTCCCTGGAAAGCGCGACGGCCTACTTTACATTTAAAGCGATAAATTTGGGCTGATATCTGAAGAGTGGCAAATGGTAGCAGGGCAAGGGGAAAGCAGGAAGGCAGGAAAGGAGAGCCATGGTTTGGGCAAGAGCTGATGGTGGGGGAGAGAGGCCGAGTCAGATGGTGAGAGCTCCCATGCAGAAGATGGGTGGATGCAATCAGGAAAGAGGATTTGCTAGGGGAGCGTTGCTGGGAGGACACTTAACTCATACAGACAGGGAATCAAAAAGTTACAGTCAGAAAAGTTTCAGAATCCTAAGTTAAAGCTAGAGCTAAAGCAATAATTAATGATATTTAAAAAAAAAAAGATTTTATTTATTTGACAGAGAGAGACACCGCGAGAGAGGGAACACAAGCAGGGGGAGTGGGAGAGAGAGAAGCAGGCTCTCCACTGAGCAGGGAGCCCGATGTGGGGCTCGATCCCAGGACCCTGGGATCATGACCTGAGCCGAAGGCAGACGCTTAACGACTGAGCCACTGAGGCGCCCCAATTAATGATCTTTCTATAGAAATTATTTCCTATGTAACCGAGAAATACCTTCCTTTATTAAGCTATTCTCTTTTATACAGGAAAAATAGCTTTTAATAACTGGAAACCTGAGTTAGCCTGCCTTTTCTTCAATCTTAGCTGTTTTAAAAACTTCAGGAGCCAGAATCACCAAAATGATAGCTTTCAGGAAAACTGTCTGTAAGAAATTGTGATAGGCATAGCAATTTAAGGTTACCACAGTGATGAATAATTTGACCAGAAGTTATGTTTGGAGCAGTGAGAATTCTTCTGTCACTTTGGGCTACTTACCCCAATGTCTGGATTGATGATTTTTCTACTTGCAGGGGTAGGGGTGAGAGGGCTCACTCTCCTCGCCATCATGTTCTGTTATCATCCCCTAGTCTCCCCTGCCTGTTCCGTCCTGCTCCTCTCCCACACACCTCTGGACTGATCCGCATCACTCAGAGCATCTGAGGTAGCAGGGTGGGCGTAGTTTGACGAGTACTCCCACCCTCACGGTAGACGTTGTAAATGAACGTAATAATAAAGCACCTAGACTGTGGAGCCACAGTGCATTGGGTTCGGATTCTGTCCACTAGTTATGAGCGTAGTGATTTGGTAACATCTTTCATCTTTCTAAATCTCCATGCCATGCCCTCATCTGTAAATTGTAATGATTCCTAACATCAGGTGAGGTTAATTGAGATTTTGAATGTAAAGCACCAGACTATAGCAGATGCTGAATAAGGGATAGCAATCATTAATTACAACTGCATTTCCCCCTGTATATCTTTGATTCAGTAGTTTTTGTATTTTTAATATCATATTTTCAGAGCAAAGGCATTCAAATCAGACTGCCTGGATTTAAATCAAAGCTCTACCACACAGAAGCTTTGTGACCTGGGATACATTTTTGAACCTCTCTCACTTTGTTTCCTTATCCATGAACTGGTTAAAATATAGTTATCGACGCCATTGGATTTAGTGAGTATTAAGAAGCATAAGGCATAGAAAGAATACACGAAGGCATAGTACTTGGCATATATAAGTACTATTTTATAAGTCAACTACTGTAAACAATAATCTCTCAATTCCTTATTTCAAAATTATAGTTAAAAGCTAAAGCATTTTGTCTTGATTTTCTGTTTTCTTTCTTCATAAATCTGATAAATTTGTATAATCTGAACCAGGGTGTTGTTTAAAAATGAGTAGTTCATTTATTCTATCGGTCATAAAATGAGGTTTCTGTATTATCTGCTTAATTGGTCCATGTAGGTAATCATATTGGCTTATTTAGCACCTCCAAGTGAAACTCAATTATTTTGTTTGCCTGTCTGAGAAAGAGCAAACTAAAACTTTGTCAAAGTTAATTGTCAAATGTATTTTCCTTCTAAGTTGAATGTTTACTGTTTTTCCCTGACGTCTTTTTCCTGACATTTTTGTTTATCCTGCTCACCCCTCTTTTTCTTTTTCATTTCTTTTGATATATCTCATTTCCAATTCTATTTCTTTTTCAGTTCCTCACTGATAAAAACTTAAAATTAGCAATAAGTAAAAGCTGCTGTTAAAAGTTGAATAAGTTTAATTTTCAAATAGAACTTGCTGGGTTTTTCCATTAATCCTTGATATTATTTCCAATAGGATCATTCCCTACCATTCCCAAATTGGTAGTCTTGAGCAAATAACTGATTATTCACGAGAAAGGCTATGGTGCTGATGGTGTAAGGTTTATTTTGTATATTAATTATGCTGGTAACATCACTTTTGCTGTTGGCATTAATCCGGTAATAATACTAAGCTTGTTATATGAACTTTACCTTGTTTTATTAGTGGGGCTTTCTTTCGTTTTATAGCCGGCTTAAGTCCTGCTGAGATTCAGCAGTTATGGAAAGAAGTGACTGGAGTTCACAGTATGGAAGACAATGGCATTAAACATGGAGGGCTAGACCTCACTACTAACAATTCCTCCTCGACTACCTCCTCCACCACTTCCAAAGCATCACCACCAATAACCCATCATTCCATAGTGAATGGACAGTCTTCAGTCCTAAGTGCAAGGCGGGACAGGTAAATCTCATGAGATTTATTCTATATTTATCTGTCACGAACTTTTACTTCCACCATGCATAAAACTGAAAATTATGATTTGTACTTAATAGGGGCAGAGTGTATAGGACAAATTAAATAGAAACCTTTAGATTATTTATCTTATATATTATTTTCATTACAGAAAACAGTTCAAATACTTGAAGTTTGATGGATTTGGTGGGGAATTTGCCTGAAGAAAGTTATTTTTTAATAAGTGCATGTGGAATTATTGTGTCAACATTATTTTTATGACTAATATGTTGTGATGAACCAGATTGCTGAAATGAGAATATTTTACCATTTTTAAACTTAAAAACCCCTTTTGAATAATTAAAGATGCATCCATATCCCCCCTTAGCATATGTTTTAAAACATGTGCTTAATATGTGTTTAAGAACACGTCCGTAGATATCAGAGAATCAATATACATAAGGATATAAACACAGATGTAATAAACCAGAAGATAGAATATCTGGTTTGCCTTTTTTGTTAGTGTAGCATGATGGAATTTATAAATATATAAACATAAACTTATGGTGGTAACTGAATAAATTTGACTCAAAATTCATAAGGAAAAATTACTTGATTTCAGTTACCAACATTGAATTATGTTAGATGATTTTCAACTTACTGTTTTACTTTAGTTGTATAAAAATTGCCCTTGTAAAAGGAGCACCCATGTACTTTTGTCCATTTACTTCCATTCATTTAAGCATAAAGCCATCTAATCAGGTTCCTTTAAAGTAATTTACATAAAATATATAAGCTAAAACATTGCTCAACATGAAAAATATCTTTTTAAGGGATGAAACATAAGTTCAGGATTTCTTAACAGAGTGACTTAGGCTCCTGTGGCATTTAGCTGTAAAGACTACATATTTGAGTGGAGTGGATTGATAGTATTCTGTTGTGTAATATGAGTATCTGCCTAGCGGCAACAAATTCTTTCTCCTAAACAAATTTTTTTTAGAGAAACATATATTTGATTACAGTACAGTTTAAAATAGGATGCTGGAATTTGGTGGTGTTTCTGATCTTCATTTGAGTATCATGAAAAATTTTTCTTGTTAATTTTCATTATTATAAAATGGTATGCTTCTGAATGGTTCCATGCTGTTGTTTTAATTGAGATTAATTTGATGATTATATATTGCAGAAGTTGGTTGATTTTTCTAGGATCCCTCTATCTGACATAATACTCCCTTATCAAAAGTCTTTGATGATTATGGAAGGATATATCTAATGAATACTGTTCCAAAGTAGAATTTTTTTAATCAGCTGTAACTAATGGAAATATAATATATGGTCCACACATAAATATTAAGCAATTTAAATGATCCGAAAGGTCCATATCATCTTTAAAAAAGAGCATTTCAAAAATCTTATGGTGGCTGTCCTATTACCTCCTTAAAAACACAGGTTTATTTCACTTGACCACATATGAACATATATTTTTTATTTAGAGGTAAATGTTACATTAAGGTCATATGGCAAGATTAGCATATGATATTATACAGTCCTCTTAGTTTTTCATCCTTTATTAACAGTCATCTTTGGCTCTATTTCTCCTCTAATTGGAACATCATCTAGCCTTGGCAGTTGAACTATTCAATAGAACGATTAAATTTTTCTGACTGCTCTGAGCTGAATTGACCTGTTTTGACCTGTTTGTCACTGATCGTAACCTGACAGGCGCTAGCAGCCTGCAACGATTATGGCTTTTTGAGATGAATCTGACGCCGTGTTCTTTTGCTACAGCTCGTCACACGAGGAGACTGGGGCTTCTCACACTCTGTACGGCCATGGAGTTTGCAAATGGCCAGGCTGTGAAAGCATTTGTGAAGATTTTGGACAGTTTTTAAAGTAGGTTTCTTACCTTTTTCAGGGAGGGGGGTGGATTATGTAGGAGTGTTAGGCACATTGTTGTAAATAAACAAGACAAAGCTGAAAGGAGGTAGTCAAAGTCCATCATCAGGCACACTGCGCTTTCTGTGTGTTCCAACAAGTGCATGACCGAAGTCAGGCTAAGAAGGTGACCTTGTCTTTACATCTTCATCAAAATATTTTACAAATCATTCAATAGAGGTTTTTGAATGAATGGAAAATAGTAGCCTACAGTAATAGTGTCATTAATTATTAGGAGACAAGTACAGGCTTCACTTAAATTTCCAAGTTTTTTTTTTTAAGATTTTATTCATTCATTTGACAGAGAGAGACACAGCGAGAGAGGGAACACAAGTAGGGGGCGTGGGGGAGGGAGAAGCAGGCCTCCCGCTGAGCAGGGAGCCTGACTCGGGGCTCGATCCCAGGACCCTAGGACCATGACCTGAGCTGAAGGCAGACGCCTAACAACTGAGCCACCCAGGTGCCCCAAATTTCCAACTTTTTAATAAAAATTTTAAGTAAAATTACATGAGGAATCATAGAGTATATATAATTTCAAACAGACATATTTTATGGGTTTATTTTTTTTTAATCGCAAGCTTGCTCTTCCTTACTTTAAATAATGATGTTTAACATACATATATTTAACAATAAGAGCGATGACATGAAAGTTAAAAGAGGCTAAAATTTTAAGAAATAAATCTATTTCATCTACATTGTTACTTATTGCTCTCAGAATCAGAGGGCAATGTGCATGGCTGTGTATTTGTATGGTAAATTACATGGCTTCTCTAGCTTAAAATAAAAATTTGGTGTACCCTTAATTTCTTCATACAGTGATAAATATTTTTTTAATTTTAAGAGGTTCCTTTGCAAATGAGAATATCCATCTACTATGAAGCATTTTCCATGCACAATTCTGCTATACAAGAGATCTAAACAGAGAGCTACAGATAGGTTTATGGAGATGAGTAACTTCACAGGCTGAGACTCTTATGTTGTCATGGAGCAGCTAACAGGGTGAATGAACTGTTTCATGCTTCATCAACAATTAAGTTAATTAGCTCATTTGAAATTGCACTGCTTTGTTGCCAGGATGTTGGCAGAAACATCAAAAAGATGTGTTTACAAATGGTAGACTACAGGGTATAGAGTAAAAGCACCTTAACAACAAGGCGCAAGTACTTGGCACCATAATAACTTTATAACGGAATTACAGTAAGACTTCCACAGGGATTTTTTTCAACTTTTTTCCATTTCTGACCAATGAAAAGAAAATTTGCTTCCTATATTACTTTGGCATTTGTAAATGGCCTTAAATAAAAATTTGCACTGCTGTTATACCAGAACAGTAGTAAGCTACCATTTTGTTGGGTATGAAAACTGATTCAACTGTTCTAGGCAAAGAGGGCATTTCAAATGTTAGGTAACTTTGCTCAAGTTTTCCTCTCTAAGAAAATAGCATTTGTTAAAACAAAGACAAAATATAGGGACATTAATTTTTAACAGCTAATTTTGTATTTCTTCATTCGAATATACTCATCCTTATCAAAATGTTATGTTATTCCTTATCATTAAGATTCTTAAGAGGACTGTTGCTACTATTTCTTAAATATGGTCACTTAAGCCATAGAACTAGCCCAGTCACCATTTTATTGCTCCAACTTGTTCTTGCTGACAAAATTAAGAGTAAGTTTTTAAGAAAATATACATATTTTTCCTTCAGTGTCATTTCCTTTATAGCACATGGAAAGGAACACACTTATTCATCTCAAATATTTATATATATATATACTTATTACTAACAAACAGATGAATACGAACCCTCATTTTACCCTCCATTGTTCTTTTTCACATTCATGCTAGTATGTTTTAGAAACTAAGAGAAACTGTAGGGGGGTGGGGGTAAAAAAAAAAAAAAAGAAAAGAAAGAAAGAAATTACAATTAAAAAAAGCATTTCCTTTCAATTAAATACCAACTTTGGTTCCAAAGGCTATTTTTCCAACCCATTAACTTTATAGAGATGACAGAACAAATGACAGTAGATTGTAAGGTCTTTCTTTTAGTCCATTTTTGTTATGATATGCTTTAGGTTCTCTTACTCAGAGATCTGTGATAAATTCTGTTAATAGAGGTACTGCCCGGTGCTGCAAAAAAGTATGTATTAGATACATTTCTCTGCTGGTATTGTCTTCTTTCTTAACATGTGTGGGAAATTTAAGAAGACATAATATATTTTATTAAGTTAATCAAGTTCAGTTATTCAGAGAAAAGTTTAGTGTCTGTGTGGAAAGTGAAATGAGGAAGACACCACCACTAATGTGAATTTTCTTGGAAAGATTTTGCTTTTCTTTTGTAATACTGGGGAGAATTGAGTCTAAGGAGAAAAGCATGTCAAACAAGTCAAAAAGCTGTGAAAGGTTTTTAGCTGCCAGTTTTGTTTACTCTTCTCCAGAAACTTTATATCCAGTGTTTATTATAAAACGTTTTCTGAGAAAATATTGTTGTGGCATTTTTATTTCTGAAATGCACTCAAAATAAATGTATAGCTCGAGCTTTACTCTGGTATCAGACAACGTACCTGTCAGTTTGAGATAAAAGGAATCCATTCGTTATTACTATTTAGCCTACATATGTTAAATAACAAAGGATAGTAGAAAATACATTAAGAGTCCCAAATCCCCTTTTTCACATCATATCCCCAAACAAACTAGTAGAATCCCTCTGTTTTTGGCCAGCACCAAATGAAAAGCCAGCAGAGGACAGTTGCTTATGTATAACGTACATATGGTTTGTCTTACGTATATTCTTTAATACTCAATGACGTATTCTTTTCCTCTGAATGAAGGCTAAGTTAGAAACTGTTATTTGTAGCAGCAAAGATAAAGGGAAGAAAAATAAAATACAAGGAAGAAAGTCCAGGCTAAAAAGGTATTTAGGAAGATTTTTGAATTTTACTGTAAAGTAGGTGTTGACAGAAGCTAACCATTTTTCTGGCCACTGATTGAGGACCTCACTAGATCACTAAAAGCATTAATACTACTTCTTCATTACTGTCTTATAAATGCCAAAGTGTAATAACATCTGACAAAACTTGAGCTAGTTTGTCTGCAAAATTAATTATCATTCCATTGGACCTAAGTCAGCTTGAATGTAGATGGATTGACTTTTAGAGCTTAAACCAAAAGGTTTACAATATAACATTGCAGTTAGCAGACAAGTGTTCTTGAATCTGCACGCGCAGATGCCAGCAAATAAAACATGGTCTGAGATCCAAAGGTGGAAATGCTCTCCACAAAGAAAGGCAGAAGGATTAGTGTCCATAAAAATATCAATCTCTTAAAGAGTGATTAGTTGATGAACGTACATGAATTGCACCTATTACAAAAACTAAATTTTTAAGGCTTGGCACTGTATATAGTGCCTTAGAGAAGGTAGTGGATACAGAATAGTTTATTTCATGGAAATTTGTTGTCTTTTTCTCTTGCAGCTGACTACTCTAAAAATTATGCTCTTACTTAGTGTGTATTGTCTACTTCTTTGTCTTTGACTAGGCAGCATGGCTACAAAATTATGACCTCAAGAAGGCATTCTTTGAACTTGTCAGAATGTTGTTTCTTTTGGTGACAGTGCCCCCATCTCTCAAAACTAAGGCATCTCACATAATCAGCTAAATGAATAGTGACAGCTAACATTTTGTATTTAAACTCCTGTCAGTGTTTAAACATAAAAAGCTTGATGCAAAATAAATCAAACACCAGTGATATGCAAGTGAAACATTTTGTTAAAACAGTCTCTGACGTACTTGGATTTAAATCTGAGCCCTTTTTAGCTTATAAAATGTTATAACTTTAAATGAATTTGAAAAATCCAGAGGTTAAAATTGAATTGCTAATCTGGGCTATGTATAATTGAAGTTACCACATGCATTCATAACCTTAAAAGCTTTGTTAAAGAGAATTGTGCACTAAATAAATTGGAAGGATCCTTCCTTACTTTCCGTCTTCCTGAAATGCTTGCTTAATTGTTTTGAGAAAGAATGTGACTGCCTATTCATGTTTTTGTTTCTAGTTCACGCTACCTACCTAGCACACAGATTCCGTGCAGTTTTGAAAGAACATCAGTCGACCACATCATTTATTCCATTTTGAAAACAAAAATCAATATACCTATAAAGTGACCCATAAATTAGAACTGGCTCACACAATGTTTGTTCAGTGCTGCCTTTCTGAAGGCACCTTTTGCATTTTTTCTTCACCTCTCTGTTTGAACTGCAGTCTCAGTAAGAGGCTCATTAGGGGACATTAGGGACTGGAGCTAACCAGAATTCCAGAGCTTGCTTTGCTCTTATTAATGCATAGTAGAGTAGAATGCATTTAAATATTTCATAGGCATTCAGTAATTTGTGTGTAATCGCCTTGTTAGCAGACCAGTAGAAGTAGAACAGGCCTGTGAAATGGTGTTAGTGATTGCATGGGTAATTTACAGACCTTTGCCATCAGAAAGAGTATTATTGTTGGCTAGTATGAAGCTGTGAAATAGAACTAGCAATAAGTAAAAAAAGAAACTTAATAAAGGTTTTGTAACAAGCATCTTCAGGGATAACAACCCCACTTGGTCCTTTTGAAGCAGCTATAATTTATGACATAGGCAATATATCAAATGCATAAGATAGTATTATGGAGCATTCATATGAAAAGGGTATTTGCAACATTAGTTCCAACTTCCTGCAAGGGACATGATTAAATGATTAATGAAATGTCCCTTTGCATATGCATTTTGAAACAGCAATTAGGCACTGACTGAGAAAATCCACCAATCCTCTCATTTTTCAGTATTATCTCGTTCTTGATTTATAAATCATAGAGAATTTTTGAACAGCAATATGTAGTACCTGAGATAGTTATAAAAACATAAAAGAGAATAATTTGGGCACAAAATAGTCATAAATACATAAATTCATAATTTAATGTTAATAGCCTATTTATTTAGTCTTATTGCATTGTATTTATATCCGGCACTATTTCTGTACTTTGATTGGCATAATTAAGTAGGGGGAATGAATAGGCACTATTATTTTACATATCACTGGTAAACAATAGCGAGGAAAGGAGAAGGGAGATGTGGCAGAGGTATGTATGTGTTTTTCAAGTTCTCAGTAATCCACTGGAGGCTGTTCTATAAATGATCATTGAAGGGCTGCAAGCTAGCCTATAATTACAGGAAAGAAAGTGGCAGCTCTGGCATTTCATAACTATGTGTCCTCGAAAAGTGCTTTGTGAGTTTGTCACCAATGATAATTTAGATAGAGGCTCATTACTGAACATCACAACACTTTAAAAACCTTTCGCCTTCATACAGGAGAATAAAGGACTATTTTAATGGCAAGGTTCTTTTGTGTTCCACTGAAAAATTCAATCAAGACAAAACCTCATTGACTATTATTGTAGTCTACAGTCTCTATTCTAATAAAAGCTGCATAGATAAATTGAATAGGTCTCTAAGACCCCAGTATATAATGCAAACATTTTGTACTTTTTTAGTTCTTTAAATATAGGATAATGATTATCACTCAGAAGTAAACAAGTGTAAGAAACCTTCTCAAAAGGTGATTTTATGCAAAAATAAACATGTTATACTGAATATATTTTTTCCTATGAAGCTAAATATTCTACTTATCTTGCTCCTTTTACACCCAGGGCTTTGTGTAGAGCTAAAGCATTTTTTAAGATATGCACCATTTAGACTGATGGTGGAATAAATATATGTGTGTGCCCCAAGAGTTCCTGGTGAAAAACCCTAAGAAAATAAAGCAATATTAAGCCTTAAGAATATGACTCCTGTTGTAGTACATTGCCAGATAATTATATCATTGTTCATTAAAATTGTGGGAAAAACCTGAAAAACACTGTTTAAACAGCCTGTTAATTAAGAATTAGTGACACTTTACATCCTAAGCTGACCTCTGGTGCATTCCATGCCTCCTTTCCAGAAAGAGTGAGTGAATTTTAGTTCTCGTTACAGTTAGGTTCCTAACAGAACCGAATAGAGCTAAGCTTAGAGCAGACTGGTGTAGTGAAGAGCCTCTCCTGCACTCTGACCACACACCTCAAACTTGACCTTACACACCTCGCTATTTTAGTCCACAGTTTCTCTTCAACCAAGAATGACAATGACAACTGTGCCAAGATACATGGAGGTTTTGTTGTCATGATCAGTGAGGAGGTACTGAAAGGAACAGATTTAATTTATCAAGGGATGGGGCAGAATGGAACAAAGGTTTCTAATTGTGGAATCTAGATCTTCTAACAAATAAAACTGCTGATTTATAAATTAGTTCTTTCTTGGAAACACCATTTTAATTCTTTGTGTGTGTTCTATATGTCTGCAGTTTTTTTTTCTGCTTCATTATTAATTTCAAGAAATATAGGTGAATAATTTGAATGGGCACAAAAACATATTTGTTGAATTCAGCATACTTAGGGTTGTCATAAACTTTTGGGTTATTACACCATTCTAAATGGTATTTGCACCCAGATAGATAAATAGATAAATTCTCATTTAATCTTGTGAATAATTTGCTCAGTATTTCACTTATATGCATAAATGAGAACATCTCTTAAATTGCTGCCTTACTTTGTTCATTGGTGAAATAGACCCACCAAAGGATACTAAATTGCATGAAGATTATTTTTTTTTAACTTTAGGAAGCAGCAAATAAATTATATAACACAAATAACAAAGTATATATTATTGAATATTTTTGTGTTCATTGGAGAAGCTGCCCTACTGAATTACTTTTGGTGTATTAACATACCACTCATTAAAGAGATCTTTTTTAATATTATGCTATAATCATAATAATAACAACAAACGAGTACATAGTCAAGACTAGAGTAAGATGATGAGAATGTCTTATCTTTCACCACTTTTGTGTAAAATTAGGATAGATGTCTCCCAAATAGGACACTAGACATGAAATGTCAATCTTATGCTTCTGATTACCAGAATGTTCAATGTACTTTATTTATTAGTAACAGCAAGTGATCATTCTTTGTAAGTATTGATGTTTCCAAGGGATGATAATTTGCCATCTGTACATAATTCACACCACATCCTGGTGAAATAAGACATCGCTCACTAAATAACATCGTAGGAACCACAGACTGTTTTAACAGAAATGAAATAGAGAATTGCCTTTGTTCTCTTCAGAATTACTTTTGGTTCATATATTTATAAGGCACCCTTTTTCAAAAAAAATGACATGAGTATATGAAATACATCTAGTGATTTCTAATATTATTCTGTAAATGGTTTGGGGAAATATTTTTTGTAATAACTGATAAGCTTAGAGACAATGCCATTTTTCTGCCATTTGAGGGGTCTCTGCATATGACATACATAATTTTCACTAAATACATAAGCATATTTAACTTTTCTTTGTATAGTTTCGGGGTGTTCCTTTTTCCCAACATGGAGGAAAATATGGCTTAAGCATTGTGCTTTTTAAGGGGAGCATATACCACTAACATAGACATTGCTTGACTTTGGGTTTGTGTTTTGTGTTTCGTTAGGCACCTTAACAATGAACACGCGCTGGACGACCGGAGCACGGCCCAGTGTCGAGTGCAAATGCAGGTGGTCCAACAACTAGAAATACAGGTTTGTTGGGTGCTCTCTTCATGGACCCCTTTCTCAGATTTTTGGTGTGTTAAATTGAGTAATGGGTAGATCCCGAGTCTTTTAACACAATGACTAGTAGGGGTTTTCATTTGTTTATAACAATGGCAGCGACTGATGATGCAGGGTGGGCTGCTGTAGTTTAACATCCTTATCACTTAGACCTCTCTAACCTTTAGAGATACCACTTCATATAGATTTGGGTATCCCAAAAGAGTCAACTCTTAAGTTTTTTTCCCTAATAGAAGTTAGACTAAACTCCACAGTTGGATACGATTTTATCACCGAGACAGTTTTCACATGAGCCAGTCTTGATTTGTTCCATGAGATTTTATAATGTAGCAAAAAAAGTCTTTACTATATCATGCCTGTAAGATACCACCCTGAAAACCCTCCCCCCCTTTTTTTCCTCAACCTCTGGTGTTTTTTTTAATTAAAGAACTTGCAAAGATTATTAAGATTCACCTTTACTAGAATAATGGCGGGTCACCTATAATATTATGGACGGTAATATGTATGTGTTGTTTCTGATGCTGCTAATTTAAGTTTAAAAACACTTCTGTTAGTATTGAAACAGAATTTGGTCAAAAATAAATAGAGCTCATAAAACTGATCAGAAAGTAATTGTGTCACTCTATCATTCCTGTTATGTTTTTACCAACCCTTTAAAGTTTTGGCTAATACTTCCTCTTAAAGATTTTTTTTTTTCTCAATCAAACCAATACTTCACTTCATTTTATTAAACATACAGTTTCTTTTTCTAAACACATTTCTACTTCTTAAATTGTTTTAAACTCATCACATCACGGCTGTTTTCCAGAGAGCTACTAAAAACATTTTATTTTGACCTGTAAAATAATCAAGAACATGTAAAAAACATCATGACTGCTGTAGTTTGAAAAGCTTTTTGTAAACCTGTTTACCATTTATAAAAACACAAGAGTTTAGCTGATGATCCAGTTTGCAGTGTGACCAATTATGCCTCCTTTCTTTTTCTTTTTCTTTTTTTTTTTTTCCTCCCTCTGCTGTGTCTGACTGATGGAAAAGTAAGGTCCGTCAGTTGTAATGAGACCCAGTGCAAGTGTAGATGCCGACTCCCGTGGCAGAGTTCAGCGTTTCACACTGCCTGGTCTCTGTCACTCTATTGAATTAGATTGATGATGGCAGATTGCAGGGGGCACTAACTGGACCTCAGTGGGAATGCATGAAGTGTGTAGACAATCCTGGCAGGCACTTCGCTTTGAGAACCCTTCACCCCTTCACAGCTGTTGGCACTAGTCCATTGCTAACAGTGTCCACAGGACTTTAAAAGACACCGTGGGCCTTCTAATTTATGGTTTCAGTAACTTGTTACTGTTGAGGCAAGTGTGACCTCAATTCTCTTATTGACAAAAAGATGAAGTGTTATTTGTTTTCTCTGACCTTTTAACATAAGGAAAGCTATAAAAGTTTTCCGTGCCCCCCCCCCCCCCCGTAGCCAAAGTTGCATTTCCTCCCAGATAAGTTCCTACTGACACAGACTTTTATATGCAGGAATCATTACTCTGAGACAAGCTCAATGATAAGATGTATCACTGCCATAAAATAGCTGTATCAGTCATTTCTAAAACGCTTCTGATCTCACTCTTTCTTAACAGCTTTCTAAAGAACGCGAACGTCTTCAAGCAATGATGACCCACTTGCACATGCGACCCTCAGAGCCCAAACCATCTCCCAAACCTGTAAGTGCATATTGCTTTATAAACAGTAAATAGCTCTACCGAGGTAACAGACTAAGAAAATGAACAATTTAGTGACAGTTAGAAAACAATGAGTGTGATGAAAAATAAGGCAATAAAATGAAAGTAAAATGCAATCGCTTGTCAAATTGTATGTTTCTTTTAAAGTAATGCTATCTTTTACAAAATCTATCCAATCTACACCGTGGGTGACACTAAACAAAGTACACCTATCAGCGCACAAATCACCGCCTTGCGGCTGAAGCCGGACAGAATATCTTTCTGTGATAGGTTTACAGATATTAAAAGGAAACCCACTTTGAGCAACCTGGAAAGCAGTACAAATCACCAATAGAAAGGTATGTGGTATGCTGAGGAGGACTTAGATAAATCGTAAGATACATACAAATCGATGTTTTTTATCAAATATTTTCTGGAAAATGTCATAGTGTTTTTCGAGCCAATTCTATCCCATTTCTTTGGTTGTGATTTCGGTTAAGATATACTTCACATATTTCGTTTTACCATACAGTATACACAGCATTAATTTGGAGGGCTTAGGACAAAGGAAAATGGGTAATTACAGAAAATAAAAACTGCCGTTTCCCCGAAATATGTAGGAGAGTTAAGCGCAACCCGATAATGTAGTCAGATACACAGACTATTGAAAAGAATATACTTTCTCTCACTCAGCTCATGTTTGCACAGCAACTTAGAGTAATCAACTGGATAACTCTAGTTTAATGAAAGTTTGTGGGGGTACTTTTTAATAAGGCCCCTGTATAGCCTGATGATGGCGATTACCAGCTTTGCCTCTCTCCATGTCCTTAGGTTAAAAAAAAAAAAAAACATTTGGTTTTGTAGTAGGGGAGGAGATAAAAGACAGAGTATATTGTATGCCATTTCTCCTAGTGTCTCTGAAATCACTAGTCGATTAATATTATTCAAAATTTACTTTTCTTGCATAACAACTGTCTTCATTTAAACTCCGCTAAGGTATTTCTGCTAAGATATTGGAGTTTTTCCTTTGTGCTGTAGTTCAGTGTAGGGTATCGTAAACATCTTTAACAGAAAGAAAGGAGAAACGTATCTTTTTGAACCTGATACACTTTTTTTTTAACTCTGGAATTTCTGAATTTTTAATTAAAAAAATAAACTTTTGAGAATCTTTTTGATCCTGTATTTATGACTTTCTTTTCAATAAGATTTTTTCCCTCATTGCTTCCATACTATAATGTACGTAATCACAAGACAGAATAATTGTCTCATAAATCCATCAGGAATCTGCAGCTTGTTCTTTTCCAATTAATTATTCAATCAGTAAATTTTTTAAAACTCCAGCAGCATGGTTACATCTACACTAATAAAGAATTTTCAGCCTATAATCCAAAACAGAACCTGAATGAATAATGTAATTGAAGTATTACATTACATAAACCACACATGAAAGAATTGCTAATTGCGTTTGATGGTGGGCAATTAATACAGAATCTTAGATGAGCGATTTAAAATGAAACCACAGTTTAAAGTTCCCTTTGGAACTCGCGGTATCTGAAGTGGGTAACTGCACTACTGGCCTTATATTGGTTTGAAAGAAGAGTGGTCAATACTCACACCCCTCAAAAAAACCCTAAAATTTATACACTGTACAAAAGAAGCTTCAAAATTGATATGATAGTAGAGATTTATGGTCTCATGTGCAGTGGCTCAGTTGAGACGGCCCACACATTTGATAAATATTAATAGCATGAATTTATTACCAAGGAGAAATGAGCTCTGTTGGTTCATCACTGCACCCTTAACAGCTATCAGTACATGAACACAAGGTGCAACCGCACTGTCTATTATATGACCCCATTTACTCTCTGAATGGTACTTCATTAAATGGTACCTTTTGGCCATGCTATGGATGGATGAAAATCAAAGTTATCAAGGCTGCGAGTCCTGAATAATGAGTTTCACCCAACCTTGACTATATTCAGATGAGCTGAGGTGGCTAAGTGCTCATCCTGGCTTTTACATGCTTCCCTTTAGTTAATAATAAATTCTATTTTATCAGTTTGTGATTGCACGCCTACAAACATGGTATGCTTATTATTGCAGGATGGCAGAATAAGTTGCTGTAACATTGTAAACATGAGTAGTTTGTGTAGAAAAAGATGTATTTCTCCTGTTCTGATAACTTTTAGCATGTTCACAAAACGTACGGTGTCTTGTCAAGTATTCATCAAGATAGATCTTTCATTGATTTGCAATGTTGGTATTTTTCTGGCTTCTGAATGTGCCATTTTCTTTCCTGGTTTACAGTTTTGAAAAGTGAATATGTAACCATTCGGCTGAGTTTTTTTGTGTGTGTATTTGTTTTTTTTTAAAGTAGGGGGAAGTGGGTATTTTTTTTTCTTTTTCCTTTTCATACTTTTAACCCACAGATCCACAATGCTGATGATATGGTCTTAATATAACATTACTAATTATACACCCCGTGTTGATTTTTTTTTAAATATCATTTGCAACATTGTACAAGCAGATGCATGTGCATCTTCCTGCATTTCTCAAACCGTGCACAGGTACTTTCATACAGTCCCAGGGAAGCTTACACCAGTGGCTTTGTAAATGTATTAAATGCAGCGTTTAGTAGCATTATCTCAGCTTTTATTTATGTACGTAACAAAGAATTCCCAACCCAGTCTGCTGGCTTCGAGGAGGAACAGAATAACAGTCTGTGGTTTATTGGGAACAGATGCACTTGGGGATGCCTTCAGGGCGCCAGTCGTTACTATTAGCCTGCTAATGTGCTGCTTCTGGCCGCTCCCCAACAAAGAAGAACAATTAGCTGGCATATGTTAATTTTTGTTTCCCTAACAAATCTCTCTACTGACTAAATGTGTAAAACAAATCCACAAAGAAAGATCAATCAATGCTGTACACATCATTTTCTCCCCATTAAAAAAAGGTTTATCTTAAGAAGTGTATTTGGGATTTGAAAAGGCAGGTGTTACTAAATTATATACAAAAGCTGAATATTCTCTGTTTAGCCACTCAGCAGTGACTTCATAGAGAAGCAGAACAATTACAACTAGTTTTCTTGCTTGGTTGTCTAGATTCCTATATAAAATGAAAAGGACCGTAGATTACCTCTTAGGAATAGCGCTTAAATATATGGCAGAAATCTTTTTATGTGCTGCCCTGCGTAAAAATTTTGCTAATTGGATGCTATTTATGACAAAAGATGTGTGGTAAATATGACAGAGGTGATATGAGTTTTTTGATAATGAAGAACAGGGCCTTTCTAAGGGGAGTAATGAAGGGCACACTGTTAAACAGCTTGCATACATCCTCACCTTTTTCCTTTTTTCTACCCTGACACCCACTTTCCAGGGTACATCAGCATTAAGTGACACTGTAATCATAAATTGAAAATGATACTTCCAGAGGAATTGGCAAACTTGACATTTCATTATATTTGTTAACACATGCCACAAATGATTGTTAGTGAGGAAATTCCATTTCCCTCTCTCCATCTCCAATCAGATTTAATTTGAAAATTTTCAGCCTCCTCCGGCTAATTTGCAATTAAGACAATTTTGTTTGAATATGTAGTAATGTCATTACCATTCCACCAAATTAGCAAGGAGACTAAAGGTCAGTGTAAAATTTTCCAGCTGGCTGGAGCCTCTCAGCTGAGATTTGGGACTAGGGGAAAAAAAAAAATTCTGGCAGCAACAGAATAGCAACTTACTTTAAGTCCTGTTGGTTGGAAACATTGCATCCTTCATTATTGCTGTTGTTGCCTCACTGGGGGCTAGACCTGTTTAACAACAGGGGCAGTCAATAATCAGCAACTGGCTTTTATTTAAAGAAATACACTTTCGCCGAAGTCTGGTAGGACAAGAAGGAGTTAGTCCTAAGTAACATTGCAGGAGATTATTAGATAACCTCTAACAGCATCCTCTAATTAGAGTTCTTATGATACAATTTCATCCTGTAATTAGTTGAGATTGGCTGCTTCCTTTTGCAGCTTATTAGTGACAACACAGCTGTAGAAGTGAATCCACTCTCATTTGTCAAACCTTTTTAAGTCTTTTTCTCTTGTCTCTACCTTTTTCCTGCCCTTCTCTTGGGCCTTTGCAGCTAAATCTGGTGTCTAGTGTCACCATGTCGAAGAACATGTTGGAGACATCCCCACAGAGCTTACCTCAAACCCCTACCACACCAACGGCCCCAGTCACCCCGATTACCCAGGGACCCTCAGTAATCACCCCAGCCAGTGTGCCCAATGTGGGAGCCATACGAAGGCGACATTCAGACAAATACAACATTCCCATGTCATCAGGTAGGATATGAATGCTCAGTAGAGCTCTTTTACTTTGGGAGAGGAAAACTATAGTTGAAGCAACTGTACATGAGCCATTCCAGAGCACATGGAAACTCAAGTCATGATTTATGGAGTGATAATTGTTTTATTCCTGGTAAATGTGGATAGGGGCGATTCCCTAAGCACATCATGATGAATTGTTCTGAATGGTTGTTCAGGAAAGAAAGCTCTCCCCATTAGAGACATTGAGAGATGTGTTGTCAGGATAGCCCATATTATCACCTCAATTCAGTGAGGTCCTTTGATCTCCGAGGGAAGACCATAGCAATACAACATCTGTGAGTAACGCTATATGAGAAGAGCCATTTAAAAGGACGGATATGAAGCACCAATGCTTTATGCAAGACACGTCAGGCTTTACATGAATCAGTCTTTGTCAAGGTGCTACCACAGCTCCTAATGCCTACATGCTGCTCTGCTTAAGATGCATATGAGAGGCAAAGTTTGCTTGCAACACAAATTTACCTTCTCTCCCTCTCCCACCCTTCTCCCTCTCCCATCCCCACCCCTCCGTCCCCCCCTTCCCCGCCCCCTGCCCCTCACCCCCTGCCCAGGGGCATCTGGATAATCACAGTCACACATTGTAACCGTTATTAACCCAGAGCCCCCTTTTTACAAAACGTGAAGTTATTTTCAACATGGGCACTTGTGAGGATTTTGCGTTTCCTTTGTTAGATGGCCACAGATGCCGAGAGATGATCCTGTTGTTCTTTAAGGAGTCTTAGATGAGAAAAAGCCAAGATTATGGCAGGGGGGCAAAAGTCCATGTAAGAACATGCCTAAACCACCCGCCTAAAAGAGGACCTGGCTGTTGGAAAAAATCCTCAGGCCAGCTGGTGGCACAGTTCCTGAAGTACCGCGAACAACTAGGGGACGCTTCATTTGCACTTGACGTCAGAAATGGCCTTTTCCATATAATTCAATTCCACTGTCATGCTTTGTGCTTTCACTAGTCAGTGGCTTTCTCACTGAATCACTTCACCAATACTAGGGGAAAAATATGAAAAATCAATTATCTATCCTGTGAATTATTAGCAGAATTAACACCTAGCTTTTATTTTTATAGAGATTGCCCCAAACTACGAATTTTATAAAAATGCAGATGTCAGACCTCCATTTACTTATGCAACTCTCATAAGGCAGGTAAGTAGAAGGAAAATTAACTTTGCCTGATTAAATTAAAATTCATTAATGCTTAAAGTAAGGCTTGGATGAGAAAGTGTCATCTAGTCTAGTTAGTAAACCATTATTTTATGTCACTATGTATCTTGTCTCATTTCAGGCTATCATGGAGTCATCTGACAGGCAGTTAACACTTAATGAAATTTACAGCTGGTTTACACGGACATTTGCTTACTTCAGGCGTAATGCAGCAACTTGGAAGGTAACTATTTTCCTCGCAGTTTGAAGATGCCTCGCACAGTTCCTTACAGATAGCACTAGGAACATTTATTTACATGACATAAGCAGATTAGTATCTGCTTCCCCTCTTTTTAACCTGCCTCTTGAATGGAATGAATTCCCTCTCTCAAAATGACAAGTGAAAGAATAATTTTGCCTCTGATATAGTTTTCTAATTTGGTGCAATTAATAGCTGAGGCTTGGCA